CAAAGTACATGATAATTCTAGAAACGTTGCGTCACTGTAGTCATGTGACTCGCTGACGCAACAATATATATATACATACATATCTAGCGCTGTGTGTAATATATAATAATAAATATTTTCTGCCTAAATGTAGTAAAGATTCAATACTGCGTAAATAATGTTTTTCCTCTATACATTGGGATACCCAAATGTAATCAATAAATGTGTAATAAGTTGAAGAAAACTCTTTCTTTCTTTTTCTTGCTGAAAATTATACCTCAAAATTGTTACATACAAAATTTTTCATTAAAACAAGCTTAGTATGTTAATATGTAGAGGATTGTAGTACAAATACAATTCTAAGTTTCACGCGGTTTGTTTCCAGACATGGTGGTGTTGTTACACTTACTCAATCATACGTCTTAGTAGCAATTATAGTTTCTTGGTAAAATAAAAGTAAAGTTATCAGTTTTGTATCAACTTATAGAACTTACATAAATTTAGAGTATATTATTTTATATAACAAATTGCTTTTTGTCCTTTAAAAAGAATAGAGTAAAATATATATTAATTTTGTTATTCAAAATAACCATGATAGTGTTTTTCAAAATAATTATAAGTGTTTATTTAGCTTAAATGTAGAATTAATCCAGAAAAGTAGACTGTATTACCATAAAACCTAAATAATTTATATAACAATTTGAAACATACTATTGATATATTTCTAATGACAATTACATCTATTAGCTGCTCATAGATTAAATTCTCCTTTCAAATGAATTCGTGTACGCAAATTGTACTATTTCTTATACACGTTTCATAGACTTTGTGGTATAAGTTAAAGAAACGGGAGTAGGGAGTCTATGTTATCGTGGGTGATGTAACACTAATTAATGATTTTACTCATAACTGAAAATAAGTAGTCGGGTAAGACTAAAGTATACTAAAACTAAAGTCCTTAGCATTCATATTTTCATTCTGATAGCAGTGTTAAGTAAGATGAATATAAGTTTATTTAATGAAGTTTCAACGTTTTACTCTGCTGTGTTAGTGTTAGTACTACTACTAGTACTACTATATAAGTATTACTATTAATACTAGACAGTGTTAACTGTATTACACTTATAAGTTACAGTTTTAAGTTGCCAGACACTTGCAAGTTTTTATGTTGATAGTTTAAAATTTTTCATAAAAATGAAAGTTCTGCTTTCTTAGTTTCTACTAATACTATCTATAAAGTATAATCTAGTCTTAGTAACAATATAACTTAGAAGAAGAAATACACCTTATGAACTCCGATCTCATTGTCTACATTTCTGTTTATTGTCATGTATTACGTACCTGAATGCAATAGACTATTATTTAAATAAGCATAATAGTAATAATTGTGAAATCATAATTTAAATATTGTATTTCAAATTTATTTTTTGAATTTCACTGCAGTTGGATGTTGTTGTAAGAGTACTAGTGGTAACTCATGTTGAACTTGTGTAACAATAACATTAACAATTATATTATCTCGTTGTTTAGTGGTCATTAGAAATTTATCACTTGTCAACTTTGCTGAAGAAATTGGGAAACAGTATGCTATCATAATCCTGATAGATTATATGATTGTAATAATAGTAAATATTTTAATATTTATATGTCCCTAAATATATATTACCTATTTCACTATTAATTGTCAAATTGAGGTAACATAATTAGTCACAGATTACTTAATTCCTATTAGTAATGATAGTATTAATGGTGGCTTTGGTCCTTTTAAGTTTAGGTTGCTTTTGCTCTAAAATTAAGAATATGTTGCAGCTGAAAAGAGAAGATTATTTATTTTATTCCATAACTAATCGGTAGTGTTTTACAATCACTCCAACTTCAGTTTATTTTTGTATGCAGCAAAAATCTTTAATGATAAATAATGCAGTCAAAGGAATTCTACATAAAAGGTATTGCTAATATCTGCTATGTTAACAGCTATAGTTGTATAAAGGAAAAGAAGCAAAAACACTAGAACAAGTGTTTGTTAGCAATACTATGAACTGAAGAACCACCACTGTTTTCTTGACAACAGTATTACAAATTGTATGTTGTATTCACAATAATCTCACATGTAATTAAATATATTTATATGCGTGTAATTTTATGACACAATTAGTGTGTCATACATTTTCAAACTGAGTTATTCTAAAATAAATTGTTAGCAGCAAAATTCAAGTATTTAATTCATTATATGGAAAACTGAAAAATTATTTTTGGAATCTCTAAAGCAGTGGTATTAACTTGTGTGTGTATATATGTAAACCTGACTCATAATATGAAAATTAATTTGTAAGTGTAGTTTTATGTTATGCAAAAATTTACAAGAGTGTATAAGTAAATCTATATGTATGAAGCTGGCTCATGAAGTTTATGCTGTTTAACTATTAATGTTTCAGATTATTTCGATTCCAAGATGAGTGAAATTGGAAACTGGTTTCGTAGCTTACCTCTGTTTACTCGTTACTGGTTTGGTTTATCAGTTATCTTTCCTCTTGCTGGAAGATTTGGTCTTTTGAATCCACGTTATTTCATTTTGGATTATGCTGGCTTTATCCATCATTTTCAGGTACTCTTCTGCAAACTGAGATACTTTTAAAATAACTTGTTTGACATGTCAACCATGTAAGTGATAAAGTTTATTAACAAACTGATTACATCACCTAAAGTGACTGTAATTGAAGCCCTTGTTAACATCTGTTTTGATTATAAAAATCTAAAATTGTTGGGTATGAAGAGCATTTTGGCCTATCAAGGATTTCCTGATTCCCAGCAGGAAACTAATCTAAATCCAGCCCTAATCACCCAAGTATTCATCAGCCTTTGCCTTAAAAGTTGCAACCTTTGTCAGTTATTATGGTAAGAACTATGATAATGCATTTACACTAATATTGTAATAATGAACAAACAATGTAGATAGAATCATGGTTTTGATAGATATGTTTAAATTTGTTCATTTCGAACTTGAGGAATATTGCTATAAACCAGTGTGTGCTTGTGTATCTAATAAGTGGCTTAGATGTTTTCTGATAAAACTGGTTTTTTAAATGTTTAAAAGTTAATAGCAAGGGAGAAAAAAAAACCTGTTGAAAGCAACATTGTGTTCTATGTATTCATTATATACTGTTGAAACTCGGGATATGTTTTGACTATGCAGGAACCAATTACAAACAATCTTGGGCTCATTAATTTAATTATTAACTACAATTTAAAATATTTGAGCAACTTGTTTTAGGAAGAAATGTGAAAGTCTCCCCCCCCCCCAATAGACATTTTATCTTAGCATATTTATTCTTACATACTTGTATTTTGAGAAATGTCAAGCACATTAATTTCTTCATTAGAATTAATATTCAAAATTAAATATATCTTATTACCCTTGTCTATAAGAGGAAGCCATTATTCATAATTTCAGTTTGCCAATACACACGAAAACATATGTATACTTTAATGCTTTTGGGGCATAATGCAAGAACTATGATGTTGAGTTAGTATTAAACTACAGTAGTGAAGCTCTTAATAAAGTATTAAATACTGTGAGTTTTCAGAATGTGAATAGGATCATGAATGAATTAGTTTCTAGAATAAAAATGCTTTAATAAGAACTACATGCATACACTTATGCATTTCCTAATAGGAATTTTGTTTTATGGGAATTGATAACTTAACATTGAAATGTTGGATTAACCTCTAATTATGTCGGTAAATAATGATACTAAATCATTACAACATTAATAGATGTATTCATACTTTCTTACTTTTGTTCCAGTTTTGGAAGCCTATTACAGCATTGTTCTACTACCCCCTTGGACCTTCGACAGGATTCCGATACTTAATGAACCTGTATTTTTTATACAACTACTCCATTCGTCTTGAAACAGGTTTCTTTTTTAATAAATGTTTAAAATCATGTTAATTATACTTGTCATAAGATATTAACATGAGGCCTATTGAATTTTTAAACATTACATTTAACAATTAAATACTTGTTATGTATTATCATTGTGGATGGAGTTATTGTGCAAAGTTTTATTTGTAGGTACATATATAGATCTATAATTATAAATATAAAATATTTGAAGACTATTAGATTATAGGACTAATTACAATGATCAGTAATAATGAGTACAACCTTCTTCATTAAATCTGAATATCAAGAGATCAGCTGGAAATAATAAGAGTTCACTTAGCAATCATGTTTAAAGTCATAATTGTTATTTTGACTTCTTGTTTGCTGCAATTAAACACTGTATGTTACACTGAACTTTGGTTACTTTTGTACATGTAAAAACCAGTTCATTTTGCTGTAGTGTAACATTCTTCTTGCAAAATATTTTAATTACAAGATCATTATTTTCTTACTTAAGACTTAGCTCTAAACGTAACATTCTATTCAGGTATTTGTGATGCTATTGAACAAAAGGTAACCCAACTCTGTTGAAAAGCAAGACTAGTTTTTGCATTAACTAGTTTCACCAACTGCTTAAAAATATATTAGCAATTTCCAACATAATACAAAATTTAATCCTTATAACATAGTTTCACTAAAGGTCTATTACCTTAAAATAGTCTTAATTAAATTGTTTACCAGAATCTGTTGTGTATGCTTCAGCTTTATTGTTGTAAAATACAAATGTTCTGCACAAATTAACTAAATTACCCATTTGAGCTGGTGCATCATCTAACAATGGTAGTGTTGTACAGGAGATGATAGTAATGTACCATATTTAGAAAAACAAGACATTAAATTAGAATTAAGGAGATACATTTTTCATTGTTCAATAATTATTGGAAGTTGCAGGTGTGTGAGTGTGACACTTTTCGCATCTCTTACAGCAGGCACATGCAACTTGCGGCCCACGGGATGCATCCTAATAAGAGCTTTAATTACATCAATTTGTATTATTAATCACTTAACTGCAATTATGAATAAAGTTGTGTGTAGTTTTTAAATACCGTAGTGTTCATATTTTAACTGTGAAAAACAAGCTTTTTTTTTATCTTGCATATGTACAGCACTTTAAACCAACCCAAATATTTTTAATATGTGTTATCAAGTTCCTGATGACATTAGATTGCATTGTGACAAATCACTGTTACTACCTCAAAATATTAGATTTTCCTTACTGCCCATAGCCTATAATATCCCTTTACTTTCAAATTAATAATGTTTGGCTAAGTTCCCTTGCAAGGCATGTTGGATGAACTATGTTGCATGTCCTAGGTATGTTTGACAATTTTAGCATACATGTATTCATTAAAATGCAATGTTTTAAAACTGTCATTATTCATTAAAAGAACACGTATGACACGTACTTCTTGGTTTCAAGGTTACGTTGATCATAGTTTGCTGAATATCAGAACTGAGCGTTTTTTTGTGACAGAGCTGAGAAGATTATTAGAGCCGGGTGATTAACTTGATCAACTATTATACGAGAGCTTTAACTACATCAATTAGTATTGTTAATCACGTAACTGAAATTATGAATAAATTCATTAATATCATGAAAATCAACTACTCAATATTAGTGGTTCCATTATGATTTTTTATTATTAATTTTTGATTAATTCAAGGTTGCTCAGCATAACTTATTAGTGTCACAACTAATGAAAATAATCAGAATTAGTGTTGCCAGTTATTGCTAGTATTGATTGTTCTAACTATCCTAGTCTCATATGAGAATAATTTAATAGTTAATTGTAATCAGTTAGGGAATTTCATGAACTGCCCAGCTATAGGTTTTATTGAGATACTTCTAACTTATTTACAAATTTTATTTTACTGCATCTTTTTACTTAATTATCACTAAAGCATTCAATTTAGAAAAGAAGAAATTTGTTTAGAATTCTAACAGTACTAGGGGATTTGAGAAAAACTTATTAAACAGCATTTATTATGAGCTGGGCATAACATGAAGTTTCAGACAAATCCTAAAGTTCTTCATTAACATATACATATATGTATTATTATGTACTATTGTTTATAGGATATATTAACTTTGTAAATTATGAAACTGAACTGATTCCACTGCTTTCAAATAGCTATTTTAGAAATATAACTAAATAATTTTCTGTATTGGGTCAGTTAAGAATTACAATGAAATGTATTGATATATGCACTTCTTATTGTCAACCTATACTGAACAAGTTTATAGTGATATTAAAATTACATCTTATTAAACCTATTATCTAGTAAGATACTATTCTTTTTCTTCAGGCATAAACTACAATATTTATTTGATAGGTAACTTAATTGTTTTTATTTTTAAACCATTCACATTTTGCGATAACAAAAAAAGTTAATACTCCATGAGTTGCAAAGTTAGTGTTTTACTCATTTATAACATTGAATTTAAGATGGATGTATATGATTCACAGGTATATTTACTGGACGTCCTGCAGATTATTTATTTCTGTTATTGTTTAACTGGATCTGCATTGTTGTATCCTTTCTGTATAAGTATATGATTAATTATCTCAATATTTAGTTTCAAATGTTGTTAATAATGTACAGTAAACTAATTATTGTTTTTTTAATGAATAAGAATTTATTAAAAAAATCTTTTTTTTAAAGTTCTGTTAAATTATTTTTGTCTTTTTTTGCATTTCTTTTGTCACTTAATGTAATTATAAAAACATATATTCAAGCTACAATTTGGGATACAGTTTTTCAGTTTTGTTCAATGATCAGTGGTAGTTCTCGTGGTAACATTTTACACACCTGCCCCCTAGTGTCACAGCAGTATGTCTGTGGACTTACAGTGCTAGAATCCAGGTTTCTATACCCATGGTGGGCAGAGCACAGATAGCCCATTGTGTAGCTTTGTGCTTAATTACAAACAATCTACACACCTACATTACTTGTATATTTTAGCAGTATTAAATTAGTATTGATGTATGCATATTCAGATTATTTCTGTTGTAATTCTCACTGAGATTGCAGGTAGTAAATCAATCATGGAGGAATGCTTGTCTTATTTTTAATAGTATGGATCTTTAATGACTGATTCAGATAGTTTCTCTGCTAATTGACATGATGGTAAGTATTTGCAGTAATATTAAGTATCTTATAACTTGCTGCATTGTGGACAATAAAGGACCATTTAGTCTATCAGAGCTATCCTAGTACACCTACCCTTGAGAAGAATAAAAAATTTAAACCCATCCTTTATTTTTCAGGAAATCATCAATTTCCCCCTCTTAAACTCCACTAATGCTCAAGGCAACTCATGAAAAAATAAAATTTTCTTAATTGGAAACTAGTCTGTATTCCAGATCTTAAACTTGTGTCTTCTGTTATTATCAGACTATAGCACAAAGAAACCAGGCATTTATCATATCAATCCACTGGATAATCTTAAATAAGATCATTTATTACCATTCTTCTCTCAAGATAAAATAATTTAAGAGACCTTAGCTTTCTTGACTTTGTATTATATCTTGAAATATCTTTGGTAAATTGTTTGTGAAGATACTCTTGGCAGTTTATTGTGTCAAGAAATACCAATATTGTTTACTATATCAGTATACAACTTTCACTGTTTATTATTTAAAAATTTATTTTTACAGTAAATTGTGTTTTAGGGAAAAAATCTTTGATGTGCATTTTGCTAGGATATTTCCAAAACTGTTTGTCATGTTGAGAAATAGTAATTTTCAAGTGTTCTAAAAACATCCTTGACTGTGTATTATTTCTGAATATTTTCACTGTGTTGTTTCAAGAGGTATTCTGGACTGTAACGTGTTTAAGAGTTATAGTTGATTGTGTATTGTTGTAAAACATATGATTGACTGAATAGATTGTGTTAGGAAACATAGTAGACTGTTTATTGTTTGGAATGTACTGATTGACATATATTGTATTTAATCATGACAGTGATGTAGAATATGTCATTGACCTTTTTGTTTCAAAAGATATCTTTGTATGTTTTCAGCTTTTGATGGACTCCATGATAATGACTGTGGTATACATTTGGTGCCAGTTACATAAAGATGTCATAGTTACTTTCTGGTTTGGAATCCAGCTTAAGGCAAGTTTTTTTAGTAAAAAATCATTTTTAAGTGTGAGTGATTTTTAGCAAATATGTGGCATTTAACTTTTCCCATGCATTAGATAAACAGAACACAAAAGAAATTTATAAGGGAATACATTTAACAAAGGCCATCAATGATGGTTTAGAGCAGTGTTTCTCAACCACTGTGGTCCATCAAGACGACCTTGTCTGTCTGTGGAGTTTGTGAAACCAAAATATAATTATAATTAGTTGCTAAAATTATTTCTTAGCACCGCCTTGTACAAATAGGCCTAATTGTTTTTTGCATCTATTTTCAAATAAATCAGGTTTATTTTTGACTCCTTAAAAAAAAAAAAAAAAAAAAGATTCTGTAGTTTAAGTACAAGAGTTGATTTTGACAACATTAACATTCAGCTCTGTGTTTACATAGTTTCATAATTTTCAAGAAAGGAAGTTTTAGTTAACATTCACAGTTAAAAAAAAATGTTTAACAGACAAGTTTAAGGAACTTTTGTTTTATGGAAGTTTTAAAACTGGTGCAGTACACATGGCCAAGATTACTTTATAATGTATATGTAATTCTGTACATCAAACGTAACTCATGCTAGAACATTAGTATTTGTTACTATTTTTAATATATTCTTAATAAAGAGTAACCACTAAAGCTATGGCCTGTGAATTATGCATAACAACAGATTTTGGGGCCTTTTTGTTTGGATAAGAAACTTCTCGTGATATTAATGCATATCTATACCTTGGTTTGTTTTGTTCATATAGTATAATGGTTTATATTTCTAGGCTATGTATCTGCCATGGGTATTGTTTGCATTCCAGTTCATCATGAGTGGTGGGTATGTGAAAGTAACATTATTTATTAGTTTTATAACCACAATACTTGAAACTGGACTTAAGACATAGTGAAAATGTTAAAGACATTATCTGTATTTATTACTGTTTAACTGTTTTTTGTAGTAGTTATCATAATGGTTTTTGTAAAAAGTACTTCGACGTATCAAACAAGAATTTGTTTAAAGATTTTTCTAAAGTCTAATATTTACATGACTTGCATATATAAAAAGCTAAAATTTAAATGTTGGGTGTTTGTTCATAATTTTATTTGTGTCTGACATTATTATAATGAGCAAACTGTACAAAATTGTAGAAAAAACTTTCAGAATCAAAATAAAACCACAGATGATCTGCAACAGACATTCACAAGATGCTCGAAAATAGTTTTGTTCTTAACTGACGTCAAACAAGTATATTGTGAATTACAGTAAAAAAAAACTGACTTCCTTCATTACATATTATGCAGGATGAATGGAGAATCCCAGGTTTGAAAAGAAATCAGTGATGATGATTTTTTTTTTCTCTTCAGATCATGATTTAAATAATGTTTCATTAGAAAGCTCTTGTAAAGCCCATTTTTTTGTGCAATTTATTTATAGGGATCATTGTTCAGTGCTCCATACATAGAGAATTAGTGGAGCCACATATTTAGTAGTAATTTAAGTCACATTAGCTGCTTACTGGCTTATCGATGTCTGTTGTTATCATAAATACAAGATTATGTTCATTCTATAATATTAATCTATAACTCAATTATGAAAATTGTGTTTATAACTGAATTATTAAACCTATCCACATTATTATTATTATTACAAGTTTGATAATATTACTCAATGCAAATGTGACACAAGCAAAGTTATATGACTGGCATAAGGTTAAGATAAAGCATCAAACATTTTTCATTCATGTGTAAGTCAGTAATTTTACATTAAACTTTTCCAGGGGCTTTGATGACTTAATAGGCATACTAGTTGGTCATCTGTATTTCTTCTTGATGTTCAAATATCCACAAGACTTTGGAGGAAGGGCATTTTTGCAGACTCCACAGATTCTGTAAGTTTATATATGTAGCATTGTTGTTTAAAAATGAACAGTTTTTACATGCTGTTAATTGGAAAGTTAGTTGTATATGAACAATAGAAATGAAATCATTATCAATATGTGCAGTTTATACTGTGGATAATTTTTGATTTCAGAATATTTTGGGCTTGAACTTTCTTTGGTTGCTTGTTTAAAAAAATAGTCCCCTTCTTGGATGTGTTTTCTAATGCAGTGAGTGATAAATTTTAATTAATAAAGACTAACGTTTTGTGATAGGACTTTTTAAGTGTCATTAACATCAAATGATGTTTGTTCAATTCAAGAGCCTTTTGAATTCAGCTTGTGCTGCTAGAACAGTCTTCCGTTATATCAGGTTGTGAACTTTGAATAATCTTGAGGTATTTTTAAGTTTAATTTATGGGTAATACACTGTTTTGAACTTCCTGGTTGATTTTAACCATGTACTAGTACTTTATTAAATTATATTGCTTTACCTTTGTAATAATTTTTATGGCTTAAAGTACAATTTAATAGATATTAATTGAAAGTAAAGAATGCCTATTTCCTTGGCATAGATATAAATTCTTTCCTAATCAACGAGGCATGTTTGCTGGCTTTGGACAAGCACCAACACCCAGGCGGCCTGGAGGGGATGATGAAAACCAACCAAGAAGACGTTACAACTGGGGTCAAGGACATGTTCTTGGAGGAAACTGAAGTTTATGGTGTGTTACACTCTAGCCAGAAGGTGTTATCTGTCTACCACTGGTAGATTTTTAGTAGCTTCAGTGAAATTCTGGAAATTGAGAATTGCAATGAGCACATAAATGTTGTGTATTATAAGTATACCTATTAAAATGTATATTTTTAATGTGGCCCATGTATAAGTGTTGTCAGGTTTGATACTTTAAACATTAACTTTCTATGACAAAGTGAACATTTTAAACTACAACAGGTTAATAAACTCGAGATTTGTAATTTACCTGTATTCATGATAAAGTAATTCATTGGAAAACAAATGATATAGTGCTCTTTATATTTTCTAGATATATATAAATTGTGCATATGTTTTCAATTTGTTTAAAAATGTAAGTATATAAAATTATCTGGTCAGCATGGAAGAACTCAAAGCCCGCTCTTTCACGAGATTGTTCTCACATTTTCCCCTCTTAAGCCTCTAACAGGATGTGCTTACTACTTCATAAAACTAAATTTCTTCAAAGACTTTTGAGCTTCTAAGATATAAATCTAAACTGTAATTGTTTATAAAAGCACAAAGCTAATGATTCTGTGTTGAACTGGAAAAATTAAATAATATCTCTCTGGTAAACTTCAATAGCATTAAAAAAAATTGAATTTCAGCTCAGGTTTTGTGAAGATGTTAATAGGAATGCAAAAATTTACATATCATAGATCCCACAATTTTAAGTGTTAGTTTTTCTACTGGAACTAACCTTGAAAGCTCACAAATCTGAATGTATTCAGAATCTCAAAATTAGAAGACTAAACTTAATAAGTAACATTTCATGTACTGTCATAAAAAAAAAAGATAGTTTCAGCCGTACAAGGTATGCTTTATTCAAAATACAGCTAAACAACACATTCATTGTCTTGAAAAGTTTTATTAGATTACCATTAATGACATATTAAACAATACATGAATATTTATCAAAAGCAGTGGATGGTATCCCCCATGTAATACTGTACATGACTTTGTAAGTGTAACTACACTGTGGTAATGTTCATTAGGGTTTAAAACAATATGAATGAGTAGTTCAACATGTATAAAAACTTATCGGGTGAAAGCTCGAGCATGTCTGCTACTGCTGTTTTCTCGTCTTCCTCTAGCTGATCCACTAGGTGGCTGAAACCTGAGATTTGTATATATATATTAAATAACAATAACTGCAAACAAAAATTAATTTCTCATCACAAATTAAAATGGGGTACAGTAATATTTACTTTTGTTAACCCATTGATGGCCAATTTACCATACAGGGTATGGTCCACCTCTGGCAGCACCATGTACGGTGTATAACTTGCAACATTTCCATGCTCATTTAGAGCAGCTGCAGTCAATGGGTTAAAAAACAGCATTACTATTCTTTGTAAAATATCTTTCTGTTCAGGAGAAAAACAATATAGGCATTATCTATTTACAATTAAAAACAATACAAAGTTAAAATCTTACACAATAAATAATTATCAAAAACAGGGACTTGCCCTAAAAGACCACATGTTTTGGTGTCAGTATGTCACCATCATCAGGAGTAACGGTAGAAATAAGGTTAGGCTTATATATCCACATAATCATTTGCATACTCAAATGCCATATATACTCAAACTATTGAGAGTTATAACACATCTGTCCAGTACTTTATTATTTCTAGACCCAAGCCAGGTTCCTTGTTTAATACAATATCCTTGTTGTTTTTTTAACTTCAAAAATTGATCATGCATCTTAAATTTCTACATGTTTGGCCAATATAACCTCAACCACAGATTCAAGGAATCTTATAAATCCCACATTTATCAATTTCTTCTATTTTGTCTTTTGTACTCGTGAGACTAAAATTTACAATGCAGAGAGAATGTTTCGCTGTATTTTTTCATTATACTGCCTATTTTTGTAGATAAGCTTTGAACATATGGTAAACAACCTCTCATGTTATCTACTTTACATTTTCCTCCTAATCTTGTACATGTTAACATTCTTAATTTATTGATATTATTTATGATATAATCTATCAATAATTTGGGTGTACATCCTCTACTATAGCTACATGCTTTAAGAAATATAGGCAGTGTTGATAACACAACTGTCAAAAACTGCCAGTGGTTAGAACATTTTACAGTAGATTTCTTAGTTCCAGCACACAAACCTGATACTACAACAAAGTAAACTAGCAGTGAAATACAAATTACAGCTATTCTCTTTTTTAAACATTTTCTTGATGTATCAATTACAGTTATGAAATAAACTTGTATATTATCCATTCATTGTGATGCTTATAAAAAGTAAAAAAAAAACAAAACAGATATCAATGTTATAAGGTACAGAGAAGTGCATTTCAAATAACTATCATGAAAAATGAAACCAAAAATTGTTCAAAATACTAATAAAAGTAAGTTTTGTAAAAAATGTATTTAGTAAAAAACTGCATTATAGAAATCTTAGAATCTAATACCCATTGCAGTTGGTACTATTAACTCTGTACAACTTGGTCATAACCTTTTACAGTGATACATTTGAAATTTACCACTTAAGTACAAGGTGGGCCTATTTCACCCTCCTTAAAAATGAAAAACTATACGTACTACAACAGTGAATTTATTAGGTGCATCTTAACAAAATTTGGCAAACTTTTAATAAAGAAGTCTGTTGTACACTCACAAAAAAAAAAAAGTTTTTTTTTTTTAATAAACGTATTTTACTGTGAGTTTCTGAAACTTTTACTGAGTTAATCTGAATGCAAGGGAATTTTCATGATAAGGATAAAAATACTTTTTTTTCATCTTATAGTTTCATATTTCATTTGCATATCCTTAATGAATATCATGTTTGTTTTCGTAATTAATTTTTTTTTCTAGAGTGACCACAGGTTGTAAAAGACAATTACAATTGTTCATCCTAACATCCTTAGCTTCTAACCTTTTTACCTCTGCTTTCTCTGTGTGTGAAAAGTAATACATACCAGCAGGATGTTTCAGGTAGAGCATATGGTAAACAAAAGATCAGGTCACAGTTACGCCATACCTCATGCTTTCGTTAGAGACCGACTTATTCATATTGTTCAACTTTTTAATTTCAGATGATGTTTCTTTACAGTTAAGACAGAAAAAATAGGAGATAAAATATAAAGTTATACAAAAAAAAACCAAAAAACCCTTTTGATATTCATTTAGAAGGTTCTTGGGATTATGCAAATGAAATATGAAAATTTTATGATGGGAAAAAAAATTATTCTTAGCATGAAAATCACATTCCAATCAGTAAATGCTTAAGAAGTTCACTGACAAATTTTTAGCAGAAATACTTCATTGAAATTTTTTTTTTTTGTTGTGTGTGGCTACTATCTAGAAAAATAATTATCTGTTACTTTTTAATCTACATGATATGTTTCATTGATTTTTTATTATATGTTTTATTAGAAAAGTGATCAAGATGTTTCATGAGGTGATTTTCAAAGACTGGTGGTTTGAAACTAACATTAGCATGACAGAAACAGTGTCCTTATCTTTCACTTTCTGTATGCGAGTTAACTTTATGGCACAAATAACAGCTAGACAAAAACTGTCATTATCTTTCACATTCAGTATGTGGATTAACTTTATGGCACATACAACAGCTAGACAAACACTTTGTCCACTCAGTAAATGCTTCAGATATTCACTGACAAATTTTTACTTCATTAAAAAATCTTTTGTGTGTGTGTGGCTACTATCTAGATATGTTTCATTGATTTTTTATTATATATTTTATTAGAAAAGTGATAAAAAAGATGTTTCATAGGGTGATTTTCAAAGACTGCTGGTTTGAAACTAACACTAGCACGACAGAAACAGTGTCCTTGTCTTTCACTTTCATGTTCACTATGTGAGTTGACTTTATGGCACAAATATATTTTGTCCTATATTTAATATGTACATGTGCCAGCAATATCCAACCACAATATTATTTTTATTTTACTACTTATTTAAGTGACATATCAATATATTTCAGTTCATGCTAAACCTTTAAGACTATAGCTTACGGTATTAATGATTGAGTCAAATGGCAATCGTCTACCGAGTGATATGATTTTATCACTGCACTTTTATTTTTGATTTAAAATCTTTAATTTTTTCTTTGTTTCAGTTATTTTCTTTTAAATATGTGAATATGAAATTTTGGTCAGTTGACTATTATTAATTTAACATTTCACCTTCAGGTGCTGATATTTTATTGCAAATGACGAAATCAGTAAGAACCACTGCGAGTCCTGATAATTAAAGTCATGAAACATTTCTGCCTTAACTTGCTTCAGTAACTCTCGATATTGAATTGGAAGATGAGCCTAGAACATCAACTCAACAACAATTTCTCTTATGGAATTAATGAAAAATTAACATTCAAATAATTTTTTCACTAAATTTTGATTCATTTCAACTTTTCTCTAAATGTGTTTATTCCTTATTCATTATCCTTTTCAACATTATCTTGGTGAAAGCCCCCTCCTCCCCATAGAAATATTTCACTGTATTTTCATTTTTTGTATTTGTATATCTATTTACAATGATAATTATTATTTTTAGAATCTAGTTTATAGTTTTATAAACATGTCCCATGCAAAATGGATGTAATTAGAAGCCCTGTACATTCTAACTCTTCTAAGATTCTTACTTGGCTTAATTTCTTTGTAACACTGTGTATGTTCCATCCAGCCAAACATTGCATAAAATAAAACAGAATAAAGTTTTCATTTCACCATATGTTAACTTATCAATTTTTACTTTTTTATCTGAATTTTCTTAACCTGTTATATGGCCACAATTAACAAACATGACACACTTGTATCTATACATTAATTATTCATATATCGGCAATATCTGACACACGTTAACAGTCACAAAGAAATAGCTACAATAATACTAGAATTTTATTATCATTTCACCAGAGCACAGTTTCATATGAACAATTTTTATATCAAAGGTTTGAAACAGTGAATGTCATTTTGCAAAGTAGTGTTTAAAAATCTAGAGATGTATAGATAATAAATATGTCAATCAAAATGTTTAATTGAAGTCACTTGTAATTGAACTAAACAGATGCTAAATACCTTAATAATAACATTAAAACTTTAGCATAACTGATGAATAAATAGGCCATCACATAGTAGTGGAAGTGAAAGGCAAATCCACATTAAAGGAATGTGAAGTACATTCATAAATTATCAAATAGATTATTATTTTAACTGTATTTAAATCAGTACAAAAGAACAAGGAAGTGTAATAATCTAAAATAAAGAACATGTATATATAGTATGTTGTCAGATTTGTTCAAACAGTATCTTATTCCAATCCCATGAAATGTAAATAAAAAGTACATTACGATAATTCAGTTGTTAGATTTAGGTTTATTTACTTCATCATCAAAAAACTGTGCTAATTCAGAAAACACACTTCAAATATAAACAACTACTCAACATGCAAAATATCTCTGTAAAACCTTTTGTAAATCGACAGTTTTAAACTTTTTCAGTCTGTTTTATACAACAAAAGTCAATAATTGATTACTCTCATTTTACAGATTAAAACTTTTTTTAAATATAAAATCAAAATAAGAAAAGAAAAGAATTATTACTAACCTTTGGTCCTGAGCTTTACTTCTAAGATCTGACCAGTGGTTTGGATCTGATTGTCCTCCTCGTCCTCCACGTGTAAAGCGTCCACTCCCTAACCCTGGACCATAGGGATCTCTTAGCCTTTGTGCTGTAGGGCGTGGCTCCATGTGGCTGTTGGATAAAATCACTTTCTTGTACTGACTTTTACACCCTGTTTCTCTGTAATAATGTTTCTATTCTCTGGTGTCATAACATCTTGTAGAGTAAAAAATATGTTTGTCCACAACATACAGTATTTACCTACTCAAGCATGATTATCATACATATTGTTACAACAGTTATTAGTTCTCTGTATATGAAAAGTCTTTTCATTTGTTCAACTGAGATATTCTTATTTGCTGAAAAACTAAGTGCACAAGAATGAAAAACTACGTTTTGAACTGATTACAGAAAAAAAAACTAAATGGAGCAAATTTTACAAACATTTACTTTAACTTTACACTGATTAGCTACTTGCAGACAGAAAGATATTCTGAATACAATAATTAATCAATAAAATTACATAGTAAAAGTTCTTAATAATTGGTATGTTTTACAGTGAAATTTAATACAAATATATTTGTGAGAGTATTCTGCAATACAAATTGTATAAGCAAGAATAAGACGTTTTTAAATAGCACATGGAAATGATCACTATTCTTATAATCCAATGAAATGTACATCATGTTAAAATGTTATTGATAATTGATCCAAAACAATTTTGAACACTAGGCAAGTATACAGATTTAAAACGATTTTGAGCATCAGGTTAATGCGAGGTGTCTCAATGGTGTATGTAATACCCCCAAATTATTGTATCTTTATACACAAGATATATTATACTGTTTCTAACTATTTGTAAAGTATCATAAAAACAAAGTTCGTAAAAAAATTTCACATAAAATTCCAATAAGTAGCAGTAAAAAAAAATTAATCTTGCACAACCAATCTTTAAAATTTCTTTTTGTCTAAGATCATCCTAAAGTATTAAAAAAGCATTTTTATAACAACTTTTCTATTTATCTGCACATATAATATTTATGTCAGCAAACCATAAGTAAGTTATTACGACAGAAACTAATGAAGAACAATCACTGTTTCATTTCATATGACAGCTTAAAATTTTGTTTTTATAGCTATTGTTATACATACAAGTTTGTTTTTCAACATTTTTTGTTACTCATTGGAGCAAACACATAGCCACCAAAAACCACAACACACAACCAAATTGTCATGTAACCCGCAATAAATAATCAGGTGTTATAGTTATATTTTTTGTTTGTTTTTGAATTTTGCGCAAAGCTACATGAGGGCTATCTGCACTAGCCATCCCTAATTTAGCAGTGTAAGGCTAGAGGGAAGGCAGCTAGTCATCACCATCCACCGCCAACTCTTGGGCTACTCTTTTACCAACGAATAGTGGGATTGACCGTCACGTTATAACGCCCCCACGGCTGAAAGGGCGAGCATGTTTGTATATTTTTTGTACAGACTAAAACAGTATCTTTTGAATTTGAATTTATTTCACTTCTCTCAGTTACTGAAGAACAATGTTTACTTCACAATTATTAAAGATTTGTATAAAATTAATCCTTACACATTTTTTAGATGTAATTGTACACATACAATTCATATAAAGCCACAAACAAAATATTAACTCAATGTTGAAAGACAATTTTCAAGGCTTTTATGTTATGTAGGAGGTAGGAATAAATGAAAAACTGGGACACCGGTACATCTCCAAACTCTCCTATCATCAGATATAGCAGAAAATGTAAATCGAACAAAATAAAAAAATACATGTATTTTTATTTTCTCTATTTAAAGCAGAGCTTCAAAAGATTACAAGAATGGTTTGTGATGCATATACCATATCAGTGATATATTATCAATTCATTAATGTAAAACAACAACAAAAAAAAACTTTTGCATTTACAAAATATGTCATAAAATCTGTAAATGTTTATAGGCATTTTAACTCTATGAGATCCAGGTGTGTTGATTCAATGCAACTGTTGTGTGGTATGTTTTGTTACATTGTAAAAAGAAACTACTGGATGAAATAGTTTGAAACTTCAGAATTACTTTCTATAAATGTTACTTCTGTAAATAAAATGTTATTTTTATGTATGATATTTGTATGAATTCCAACTTTTGAAATTTTAAAAATATTTCATTGTGAAGTTTTTAAGAAACAAGTAAAAATGCTTACCTTTTTTTTTGTATATTTTATTTACTGATTTTTGTCTTCCTACATTCTTTTGAAACTTTCTTCTAAAGTTATATTTTATCAGATTGGAAATTTCATGTTTTAAAGAAAAAACAACTATACGGTTTCACTGTGTTTATGATCACTAATATACAAAACAAATTACTTTACTGTCATATCAAAATCATGTTTAAATTGTTAATTAGAAAGTTTTACACTGACAGTCAATGAAAACACATAATGTTTTGTTTTAAATAATTTTCCTCACAACTTTATCAACTTTCCATTTCCCATGTGAACTCCTGAGGCCAATCCAATGTGAAATGACCACTCCTTTACACTTTTGACACACTTCATTGAATCCTGATCACCATATACCAAATCAGCCCATTTTTGTGGTCTGCTATTGGGTGTTGTCATGCAGATCGCGTGTAGAGGTGGAAAATGGTGGCTATATATTGCACAACCTGAATACAGTTTGACATAGTGACTACAGAATACCATGCTACGTTTATCATGCAATGAACATCACCATGCTATTGGTATGCTGGAAGGGGGTGCAAGCCAGCAAGAAGTTGCACAGAGAATGGGATGCAATCAGTCAACCATTATGAGGATGGTCCAGCACCACAGTTTGACAGGCTCATTTGATGACCAACAGTGTCCAGGATGGCAACGCGTCACTACACAACATCAAGATAGAGCCATCTACCTGATGCACCTATGTGACAGATTCAGGACTGCAAGGACTTCCTGACCACCATATAAGCAGTCAGACTGTACGTCATCACCTATGTCACAAGGGACTTGATGCATACAGACTTGTCAGGGGCCCAAAACTCACTCTGGCACGTCACCAAACCAGGCTGCAGTGGTGTAGGCACATGAGAGATCGACCAAGAGAGACAGGAACACCATTCTCTTCACTGACAAGTCACATTTTAGTACTGACTGGGCTGATGGACATCAATGTGTCTGGAGAAGACTGGGTGAACATTATGCCAACTGCTGCATCAGACAGACCAATCGCTGGGGTGGCTCTAGTGTCATGGTATGGAGAGGCTTTTCAGGCAACTACAGAACACCTCTGGTAGTCATTAAGGGCAACTTGAATGCATAATGCTATGTGAACAACATCTTAAGGCCCCATGTAGTTCCCTTCCTTAGAGACCACCGCAACCAGCCAGAATGAGTTAACGTAATGCCATGGCCACCATACTTACCCAACCTCAACCCCATTGAACATCTATGGGATGACCTAGGCTGCAACATCTCCAGAAGTTACCCCAGACCACAGAACAGATTATGCAGGCATTGCAGGACAAGTGGCAGGGGATTCCCTAACACAGCCAGTAGCCAGTATGAGAACAAAGGACCATGGCATGTTTTGCTGCATGATGTGGACACACCCATTTATTGAAGGACAAGTTCATCCAATTTGGTGGACTTGAGTGCTCATTATGATAACGTTAGCTCTGGGACATTGTGGTGATCATTTGTTCTGAATGTCTGTTTTATCCACTGACCACATACAACTAAATGTAATACATGAATTAATATTAATTGATTAAAAAATTATCCATTTTCATTGACTGTCAGTGTACATAGTATATGTAATAAATTTTTTGATGTTTTATATCCATTTACATGTACAATTTTTTTACCCATTCAAGCAGTTAGTTAGGCTCATATATAGCCTAATGCAAATAAGGCCTAACACAGCAGCCTTTTCAGCAAAATGAAATTTGATACAGTAAAATAGAAAATGATTTAACTAGGCCTACCTTATCTTGTTCCATAAAAAACATTTCTTTTCCTGTTATACTTCAATATCCTAATTCTTATGAAGTTATAAAATGATAAAGTAGGCTTTGAAAAACAAAAAATCAAAACTGTAATTGTAGTGGAAGTTGTTCACAAACATCTTTTCTTCTAACAAAATATCACCCAAATATTAAATCTTTATAATTTTGTTCCAATCATTAAGCAAATCTGAAGTGAAATGAAAGCCTTATCAGCTTTTATAGTTCAAAAGAATGGAAAACAGTGCTTTTATGATGCGCTTAAATCAGTAGCCTATTATTTCTCAAAGCTTAGATATAAGCAATTACATCACACCATAACAAATAAAGTTAAGAATCAGTGACTGGCTAAAAATCAATAAAACTATATTTGTATTCAGAGTAGGACAAAATAGCACTACTTTTTCAAAGTTGTTATAAAATTCTTCAAAGAGGGCTACGAGTGCCATATTATGCTCAGAAAATATTTAGGAAATTAAAAAAGCATTTCATTTTTATGTATAAAATTAAAACTTTTTATCAAATAAATTTCAACTCTTAAATTTTTTTTTTATATGTGAAAAAATGGCAAGTTTATTTTTATAATTTTTTAACTTAATTGTGCAATTTACCTTTGAGGCAGACTGCACCCATCTGTGTATGAAAAGAGTTAAATTTTTTTTTAGATGAAAACATTAAAATGGAGTACTTCTAGAAAACTATTTTCAGCTTAACACTTAATAATGTACTGTATCATTGAAATACGTGTTGCAGGTACAGTCTAGCCTAAAATTACATGAAAATAACGTTCTCTTGCAGATACCGTGTCCAATGTGAATAATCCTTTACCTTGAAAAAATTCATTTACATCCTCAGATGAGGATTTATTTTTGCATATTATCCACATTTTATGATAATGAACTTTAGTTTTATTCATATAATATTCATCTGTCAAATTTATTCATCAGTATTAACTATTTATGATAATTGCTAAAATGTGTACATCAGTAAAAAGCCTTTATTGTTCTGATACACAGAACCACTGAAATTTGTTCATTTTGTTGAGCATTTCCACTTGAATTTAACACGCCTATGGCTGAAACAATGTATAGTTGTAAGATTATAAAGTAATTTGTTAGTAATTAGGCATGTAATTACGAAATTGATAAATATCGGAACACCGAAACAATTTTTATAATACCATTTCTCAAGAATTTTTTTTATACAAACTGTGTATCAATACAACTACAGCTGAATTATTTTAAGTTTAAAACAGAACATAATGAAAGAAAGAATATGCGGTTCATACCCTCCTCTTCCAAATCCACGCATTCCAGGTCCACCAAGTTTTCCAGCAGAGCCAGGACCCCCTCGTGCTACCCAAGGACTAGGCATTCCACGGGTGGCTGCTCCTCTTGGTAATCCTACAAAATATAAATTAAATTAAATTCGACAAACAAAACTAACTCAAAATCTTCAAATTTTTTTGTAGTTATAAATTCTTTCATTTATAATAAACTTTCAAAAAATGTATTAAAAATGTCAAAGGATGAAAACACATACTTATTGAAAGCTGCAGTGTAATAATCTATATAACTTTACCAGGTTTAAATGCTGAATATCTTCAGTAAGTTTCAAAATCTTTCAATAAGTTATTAGAATAAGCAGATAATCTAATTAGTGTGTACATTTACGATGAATTGTATCACAATAGATATTCTGCCACATCTGTTTTTAACCGAATCTACGATGTATGTCAAAATCAACAAACATTTATTATATTTTACTCTTCAAATTTCTTAACTAAGGTAAAAATAATTAAAAAGTATCTACATGATTTTATCTCGAAAAATATTTGTAACAGTTACAGAATTTTACCAAATCTCTTACTTAGCTGAATGCTTTGGTCACCAAATGACACCAGCATTTTTGTAAAAACCTATTATCAGTATAAATCTACTAAAGCAAAAAAACATAAAAGTTATATTACAAAAAGTTAAAATTTTGTAATTTGAAACAATTATAACATCTGATATAATAACTGCTATAAAAGTTTTACCCCTTCCAGGTTCACGTCTGTTGTAAGGTCCAGGAGGAGTAAAGAAACGCCCTCGAGATGGTCCGAAACCACGACCACCTTCGAAACCACGACCTCGACCACGTCCAGCATCCTTTCATTTATAGCAAAGAATAACGATACAATGAAAAGGCCAATTAATATCTGTCAGTTAGACTGTGGTTGTGCTATAAATGAATTTCCTATATAAATTACTTTTACACCACCAGTTGATTTCACCTTATTTTAATACTAAAACAAGCTTTTTTTATTAATAGCTTTACCATTATCTTGAATTAAAAACTAGAAAATGATTTCATGAAAACCTTATTAGGTTTCAATAATTACCATTTATCAGAAATTCTTATTTAATAACTAGTTCTGAACATGAAGATACTATTTTCATACACATTTTCACACTCTTCTGTATGAAATAGATATATATAATGCACTTTTGTAAAGTTAAGCATAAGCATTCCCCACTGTTTACCTTATTTCACAGTTGACTTTGGTAAAAGGACGTTAATAGCTGTTTCACATCAATTATAACCCATTTGTAAAAATAATGCTTTAAACACTTAAAAAAGCATCAAATCTGGACATATTCTGAAACTGGCATTATACATGTTTACAATAATTGTTTTTCTAAACAGTATGTTCACAAAAATAAATATATATGCATTAACATAAATTTGAACACAGTGTACAGAGTAAAGAAATTCACAGAAAGAATGAGTTCTGATTCAAATATTTTGTTACACACTTCTCTAATTGTGTATAAAGCACAATATATTTTGAAGATATTAGACTGTAATAAATTTCCATATTTTTACATTATCTGAATGGCACTAAACTTATTTTGCCCAACAAAGGTTGATACTACATACACAACAATTATGTTAATTATTTACTTTCTAAAGATTCTTTTATTTTCTAAAAAGAATGCTGAATTTTAATTTAAGAAATGTATAACAAACAAATCTATTGTGTATTTTATGTTAGTAGTAAAGCACAAAGCTACACAATGGGCTATCTGTGCTCTGCCCACCACATATATCAAAACCTGGTTTCTAGCGTTGTAAGGCCGTAGACATACCGCTATGCCCCTAAGGGGGGCATGAGTATTTTATGATGATCCTGAAAAACATGAACCAGTACTTTTTTGTTTTTCTTCAAATTTTTTATGTGACAGCATAAGAGCACATGCATAAATGTATGCTACAAATCACCCAGTTCATCTTTTTGTTTATCTGCTTTGTGTTAATACTGATGCCATTTGTCAATGTTACAAGTAACTTAAAATTAACTTTTCAAAATGTCAACTATTGTGATCTCATACAAAAATGTGACCAATGATTTTGAAATAAATAATTTATGAAAACTGAATTTTCAAACTGTGCTGATGTGTTTTTTGAAAGTATCCTTCCCACATCTTGTGCTTCTAATGTGAATTCCTGTTGTTAAAAATATCAGATTTACAAAAAAAAAAAACCTGAACTTTTCTCTTTCTTTAATAAAAGAAAAAATGAATTGAAATAAGAGTTGGTTAAGTCCACAACATATATAACTAAGTTAAATGTAAAAATGATTATATCTGTTAGCAAACATAAAAAATAATACTTGAAAATGTTCACAAAACTTTAAATAAGTTGAGAGAGAAAACAAAATCAGGAATCCACCAATATCAAACTGTGATGAATATAACTAATTTCTTAAAGTATTAAACATTGATACCTTATTCAACCCTTAACAGAAGGATACTGGTAGCTTAGAATGTTTTCCAACATTAATGGTGAAAGTTTACAATAGGTTCAAAACTTAAATTTCTTGAAATAACTTAGAGATGATTATAAAATCAAATTACTATGAAGATCAAAAGCAAAAGGAATGATCCATTATTTGGGATACCTTGATTCCAGGCCGTTTTGGACCTGGAGGATTTGTTGGACCATGAATTTCCATGGCAAGAAAATCATCAACATGCATGGAAGGAGGTCGACTGGTGTTTGGAGGCCTGGAACGAAAGGGATCATTGGTCCTTGTAGAGTGAATGGGGCCTCTACCAAATCCACGGCCTCTCATAGGTGCAACTATAAAGAGAAGAAAAGAACGACTCTATTAAACTATATGAGCTTAACCATCTCTTTTTGGCAATGAAATTTATAAGTCATCAAAAACAGTTTCATATATAAAAACACAGACTATCATGATTTCTCAAACTGATTGATTTTCTGTTTTTACTCTGTGTCTGGTTCATATCAACTAAAAACGTGGTCAAAGCTCCAATTATATATATATATAAAAACACAGTTGCATGTATTAATTTTTTAGACTGACAGTTTGGCACATTATACTGGATCCCACTATAAATACCAATTAACAGTGTAAACTGAAATAAAGTATGCAAAAGCTTTTTTTTTTATGAAAAAAAGGAGTACAATGTTTCTACCACACGTAGCCATCTTCAGGTGTGTAAGTTTGTACCTGGAGATAGCCACATGTGTGATCGAAGCACTATACTATCTTTTTATTTGTTATTCTTCACGCTATTTAAGGTGTTTTATTGCACATTTTGGTTTGGCTTATTACATAGCACATGATAAGTACAGCTGTTTTACCAAATAAAATTTCCTGTTCCAACTTTAAATAAAACCTGAAATGTGTACTATAAATTAAAGATTAATGACTGATGTCCAACTTACTGAAAGGTCTTTTACTTTGGTTCTCTCCTCGGTTGGAATTAGTAAAAGGCTGATGCTTTCGTTTACCCAAAGAGCTAAAAGAACACAATGAGGAACTTTGATTGTCCATATTTTCAGGCATAAACAAGCAATGGTAATAAACACATACTATTATATTTACTGCAGTAAGGATCATCCTCTAAATAATATTCATTAACTAAAGAAGTACAATTTTTATTGTGTTGTATTATATTAAAGATAATTTTCAAGCTTCTTAAACTACAATATTACAAAACTCACTTCTACTAAGCCAGGCTCAAATATGTTTACCATCTTTAAATAAAATACAGTAAGCACAATAGAGGAACACAGAGAAAATCAATGTATTAGTTGGAAGCTCCTAATTTGCACAATTCTGAAACCATATATAGTCAGTAAAAGTATCAAAAAATGAATTATAACTTAATGATCCTTTTATCAGTGTTGTTTTCTGTTGCACTGGATATCAAATGATCTTAACAAACAAATAATGAAATAAAAGAATACTGCTGGTTGTCGTGGTTTTGATAATTAATGAACTGTAAAAAAGTAGCACTGCTGCAAATTTTGTTTTTTAACAACAAAATGCAAAGAAATTTAATTTGTATTCTATATATTTATAATACTCAACTTTCAATATATTTGAGCTTTTTCCAGTAAGCTATATTTACAATTCACCTCTACTCTTGTCCATAATAAAAAAAAATGCCACAAATATCCTATATATCACGAGTTACAATATTATTGCATACTTTGCTGTCATTTTCTTCTTTATTTGTGTTTCTGGTTCCAAATCCTTTGAAAGGCATAGTTGCTGGAGACTAGTTCTGATATCCAAATCAAAACAGTACTTTTCAGCTAAGGATACAAAATCTAAAGATATCTGTAAAAAAAAAACATTATCATTTAATTATTTTCTTTGAAGCCTATAATCTGCTGTTCAGTTACAACTTAACCCTAAAATTATCAGTTTTCAAACAGACTTTTCTAAACTATTTAAGCACCAAATTACTTGTAGGCCCATGAATTTGTTGGTTACAGGATCCCTTATGTTATATATGTGCCATGCAAAACATTTTAAACAAAAATACCATCAATATGATAATGAATCCTATTAATTTCTTCTGGAATTTTCTGGGTATTTAACACAGAAAATGAGTGATTACATCTAACTTGTATTAATCAATTCTTTACAATGAGTGTTTTAACAAATAAAAACAAAATTATTTACTATAGTTCAGTATGTGCCCCACCAATACTGAATGATAAAAAAACAATTTCGAAATTAATATAACTATTTCAAATATTTTTGTAAGACTGCTCTGCCAAAATTTAACACAATATTCTACCCAACAAAAACCAAAAAGTTAAACAAAAATAAAAAACATTTTCAGCTACAGCATGATAAAATCTGAATATACAAATACATGGTTAAGATTGCTTTAAGAGATAAAGAATTTAGGCATTTGGTAGAAACACTGAACACTTAATTTCTTTCCACTAACAGCAATCTTAGTTATTTCTTTGTATTTTCAAAATATAAATTTAATGTTTTTGAAGCTTCTATGCAACCTTTGGCTTCAGATAATGAAAATATCCTCAAAAACAAGTAGAACTGGACAATTTTTGATTACCTGTGAGAAGCAATTACATCAATTAGTGTTTCTAATTGTTATTGTTTTTCACTCTTGCTACTATTCAAGTAAGCATAATGTTGAAATCAAACTTGCTCACCCTGTCTTTATTACAGAAAAGGTGCTAAGGCTATTTGCTTATTTTGAGTTGCTGATTAGAGAAAAGACAATTGTTTAGTAGCACACAACCAACTTTTTTATTGTTGTTGTTGAACTGCAAATTAAAGGGAAAGTAACTGTCAGGCAGCACCCAAAACCAAGTATTTTTTTGTTGTTGTAGAACTGAAAATTAGAGGGAAGGTAACTGTCGGGTAGCACCCAAAACCAAGTTTGTTTTTTTTGTTCTTCAACTGCTTACTATAGTTCAGTGTGTGCCCCACAAGTAATGGACGATATAAAAACAATTTCGGAATAAATACATCATAAGTATTTCATATATTTTTGTAAGACTGCACTGCCAAAACTTAACACAATATTCCACCCAACAAACACCAAAAAGTTAAAAGAAAGGACACAAAATCTAAAATGTATCTGTAAAAAAACCAATTTAACTTAAGGGTGAAATTCATGACTATTTCAGTCATTACACATGACTAACTCTAGAAGGTCACTAAGCTACAAGCATAGAACAAATTTACAAAACCATGTAAACTAGAGCAATATCACAAAGTTAAGAAACTAAAACAAGTTCACTGGGATAATCTCAAACTAAGCAAACTAAAATACACTCACAAAACTAGACATTACATTGTCAAACTTTCTCACAAAACCACAAATACTAGGAAAGAGAATAAAAGTAAACTACAACAATCTCACAAAACTAAGTGGAAAAGAACAACTTTGTGAAACTAAGTCCACTAGAATAATCTCATAAAATGAAATACTATAGAACAGCCTTATAAAACAATTGTACATTATAAGTATCTTAGAATGCTATTAAAATACTGAACACATGAATTCAAAAAGACCTTAAAGGTATGGGACACTAAAATCACAAAAAAAAAGATTGAAAACAAACACATAAATAACTCATATAATCTCAACATAATCTAAAGTTTCAGCTTAAATATACATCTTATAAATTCGGTGAAGAAGATTACTTTTACACTACCATCATGTTAAATTTATCTTTGCATTTCAAAGCCTACTTGTTCTGTTTCTTGGTCTGTGTCTTCAATACCAGGAACTGACAACCAGTAAGCAGGGGTCAATCTCTCTTCTTCAATATCTCCTACTTGATATACAGGTCTTTCAGCAAACTGTGCTGACAAACTGTCAGGTGTGGACAGCAATGGCTCAACCATTTCTGCTGAAAAAAAGAGAAATAAAGCAGAGATTATCTTATCTCACAAACATATATGATGAAAGAACTCAGATTGCTAATTGAATTTCACCAACTGCAATAAATTTTAAGTACCTAGTAATAAAATCTAATCTATGGTAAAAGCCATTTGATAAAAGGTGCCTTTTAAATGAATTACACTGTAAATTATGGTGATGCAGCAGACGATTAGCACAACTGTCATACGTTGCAATAAGAGTTACATAATATACACATTAAAAATGATTTACCTACTGTATAACTATTCTAGACACAAAACAAAACTTTATTTGTACATCATCACTACAAGTTTCTATTAATTTCATATTTCTCTCTGCATTGATGTAAAACACAAGCTAAACCAAATCTAAAAAAAATATTCATTGGTGTTCATAAAACCATCAACTGCAATCTTCCTTTACTGATTGATACCACAAATAGTTTCATTCTGAACATTAACAAGTAACTACGTCCTAGCTTCTTAATGTTTAACTAAGAAAAAGTACCAAACTATTTCCTAACATGCAAAGCTACTGAACACTTGAAATGACTTATCAATGTGAGATTGTCTCATCATCAAAAAAGCAGTGGTTTATTTCATAAGAAAAACTACAGTTTGGAGTATGATAATTATAATTTTTCAAATAAAGTTTGCTATTTTTTGTCTTCTGAAAGTTTACCTTACCTTTAATTTTTTTCCAAGAATGAACTGAAAATATACACACTAAATGGAAGTGTTAGTAAGTGTTAAATAGCATTTTCTCAACTAGGCCATTTTTAAATTTGCAAGTTTTAATTTCAATAAGCTATACACTTGTTAATAGTTTAGAAATATAAATTCAATGTTCATTTTGAAACAAAACCCAAATTTAAAGATTTCTTATTGTATTGGTCTTTTCTGAATTTATTTATTAGATGGACATTTACATTGTCAGACATGATATATATGGATGACGCACACACATATATACCTTAAAACCTTCAACTGGTGCAGGCAGCAAAGAAACAAGTGGAATTTAGAATAATAAATAAAGAATAAGACTGAACAAGATTTCCCTATTAAATCCACACCATCAAACACACACACATATACCTTAAAACCTTCAACTGGTGCAGGCAGCAAAGAAACAAGTGGAATTTAGAATAATAAATAAAGAATAAGACTGAACAAGATTTCCATATTAAATCCACACCATCGAAACAGTATAGTAAATACAAGAATACAGGCCAGAAAATATTCATACACATGCAACAATACACAAGTTCTCAAAGCAGGTTGTCAATAATAATTCTTAACCAACAGTGCTCCACTATAATGTATGTTAAAGCACATCTGAGAATTATTCATACTGTAACTATGATCAATCTGAGCTGACCTTACATTCATTGAAATAAAAATACATTACTGACCACAGAAAATGCATCTACTACCAATTATGATATTTTGGTTAGAAAAAAAATAATCTGAGATTCATAGTCAGAGACAGCACAATGTGGATTCAAACAACTTTAGTAAAACAACAAGTCCTATTGATACTTACATCTATACTACATATTGATGGATAACCCATTACTGTTTTTTTATAACGATTTGTTATAAATAAAAGTTCATATATTTTAAGCTTATTGGCTTACCTGTCTTTTCTTTAATAGTAACACCTTTAAGTAGCTGAACCAATCCCGAAAGGTTTTCCAGCAAATTCTCTACAGCTTCATCATCACTTGGAACCTCCTGTTAAAAGAATGCATATATCATTGCATTTCTTTCCTAACTTTTTTGATGCACGTGTGTGAAAATGTTTAACAAATTTAGTTTTAATGCTCTTCCTTTTTTAGTTAAATTATGATTATGTTGCTAGCAAAAATCAATGAAACATACATTTTGGAAATGATTCTAATAGTAAACATATTCTATGCATTTAGTAAACATATGAAGATATTGAGATGAATTTGTTACACTTCATACTTTTGCTTTTTACCACTTACAAATGCAATGTTAAAATATATATGACAATTAATTAACAGTCAAGAGTGAATATTAGGAAACCAGTACATTTAACGCCTTTGTTATGATCATTTAGGTGAAATATATACAATCAACTCATATCAAACAAGTTCTCATAACTAATCCTGTGTTTGAAATACTTAGCTTCTACCATAACTGTGGATCAGAAACTTACAGCAAAGAGATTCTCCAACTTCAACAGTGGGTGGATGTTTTCTTTTGATACTGAAGTATTATCATCAGAAGGTTCCGGCAAAGTTGATTCTTGCCAGTCAAGCAGCCGAGCAAGCTCTTGAATAGGCAGAAGCTGTGTTCGAGCTGTCTGACCTTGATAAGGTGACTCCTCAAAACCGTGGACCATCAAACGCAGTAGTTCCAGAGCAGTGGATAACGTGGAGAAGCAGTCAGAACTTTCTTTGGTGAAGGTTGTTGCCAAGCGTATTAAAAGGCTGTGAAGAGCTTTAGGATTCTGTTCAAAACCACTGCAATCCAAAAAAAAATTTATAGTAATAAACAAGATAAATTTGTACTAGTTACTATATATACAAAAATTATTATTAATACACAAATCAAGTTCTTATGTAATCAAATATATCAAAAGCATTATTCAATACAGGTAGTTCAACAGAAAAAAATCAAACATTTCACTTGTGGTATTGAGTAGAGTTCAAAATGTAGCCATGTTTTCTCAAACTTCAGTTGTTATAGTAATCAGTTTCTAGGTCCTGATAAGATGTTATTGATAGCTGTCATTATCAGCATGGCTAAAATATAACCAAAAATGTTTTTTCATTATGCCAGAAACTAATTAAAATCGAAAGGAAACACAAGAAGTATTAAAATTCAGTAAATGGATGCATCAAAACATACATGTTCAATACATTTAAACAATTTGACAAAGTACTTCAAGTAGTAGGGGATTTTCAATATAGTGGATACTCTACAAACAGAAAGGTAAGAACACAGTTTACATATAAAAACTGAAAAGAAAAAAAAATAGAGTTAACATACAGCTTATGTTACCTTTTTAAATGATACATCCCTAGGTCATGTTCAGCTAGCATTACTAAAGTTCTTAAGGAAGGAAGTACTGAAGCATATGGATGTTGATGGTCTCCTACATGCTGAATTAAAGCACTACAGATCCGACTGAGCTGATCTCTGGGTGGCAGTGAGTTGGTAAGCTGATAAACAATAATATCAAGATGTGTAGTGACAGAACTTTTTGATTAACTGTGATTAACTATATACATAGAAGAATATACAAAAGAAATATTTTGAAAGCCTTGCAACAATATTTAACAAAATATCATTGAATTGTTCAAGGTTTTGAAGAAGCTGTTAATCTCATAAAAATCAAAATGAGTTAAATGTTAAAAATCATTAAAATTGTAAGTATTTAATACCAATGAATGCACCATTAAAGTTTTTATACTGGAATAAACCAATAAGGGTATAAAATTAGATACATCACATACATAATTCAACATATTCAAAAAGCAGTGATTTTTTACTCCAATAAACTAAAAACGTATTTAACTTTTCATATTGTCATATGACAATTATGTTAGGCCTATTACATTGTTTTAACACTACATTCCTAATCCAGTTCCTTACTGATTTTCAAGGATTAGAAGAGTATATAATAACAGTATTTCAACTACACTATATTCGTCATATCCATTGCCAATGACACATCTCACTCAATCCAGAGCTCTTTGGACCGCCTGAGATCGAACACAGTAGTGGTCAGAATACTATTTATATAGGACTTTTGTCATTATACTTATCTCTTCCATCCAAACATCAGTTAGAGAATGAAGACCTTATCTAACTTACTATATTCACTATAAAATATGAAATGAGTGAAATAAAGTACCTCATCATGACACAAACTTACAGTATCAGTTACTGTAGCTCCATTCTCCAAAGTAATAAATCCAATATCAGGATCACACAGCGACTGCAAAATAGACTGTAAACACAACAAAATAACTGTTACAAAACTACTCAAACTACTCTTTAAAATTTTTTGTTGTACTCAGTTTAAAATTGATTAGATAAAAAAAAGTATAAAGAGCTATAACAGTACTAAAAACAATGCACCACAGTACAATGTTTTGCCATCATTTGGTACATTACATAACAGTAGAACACATTATATGTACACAAACCATTGCCATCTTAAAATAAATATAAACCTACCCCTTTAATTGTATTTATTGAAGGCTCTTTTTTGCAATATTTTTCACACAGAAAAAAACTAAACTGCATTACATAAACAAAACACGTGACAACAACTAATATATTTTTCAAAACAAAATAAAGTTTTGCAAAATGAGATTCTGATTTAGAATATTACTACATCTTAGTTTATAAATATAGGTGTAGAAGAAATAATTTTCTGGTAATTAATCTGTATTATGAGCCTATACACACACACACACAGAAATACCAAGGATTGTGTAAAAAAGAGGTTAACTTATAATATCATCCTTCATGTACATGCAGACTTGTAACTCCGCCTTTTAACATCTTTGAAATGTTCTCATCGTGTTGCAATGCAAAGAGTTTCAAAACTATTATCAAATTAATTACATTAGTCATTAATAGGTAATTAAATCAGCACTATAAAACAATAATGAACTTAATATAAGTCATAAAATTACTTTATAAAATCCATTGTAATTTCCAGTCATAACCTTAAATATTAGTGTATGTATCCCTACCACTATGTGTCGTACTTCTGCAGATACCTCTTATACTATGGAAAATTTTTTCCTTCCCATCTTACACTATAGCATGTATCCTAGTTTTGCCTTTTATGTGTTACGCTTTTTATTTGTGGCCTTGTTGTTTAAAGTTTTATTAAAAATATTATCAAAGAAAAGAAGGCGTTTTTGCCAAAATAAAACACGAGGGAATATTCAAATACCGCAGCACTTGAAATTCTTTTAGTCATGGTTAAAGTAAATCAATCTATAAGATATTTTTTTTCTTTTTATTTAGTCTATATTTTTGTGTGCCAGCTATATATATATATATATATTTAGCCCTTAACAAAAAAGGGGGAAAGAGAGAATCAGAAAAGTGTATACAACTACACTTCAAAATGCAATAATGTGACATAAGTTATTTATGTAATAACTACATTAAAATGAATTAATATTCAAAAATCATTGTTGTAAATTCAACTGATATAACTATAAAATGTATAAGCTTTTAAATTGTTCCAAGAAACCTATGTATTTTTATGAGAATAAACTGCTTCAATTTTAACAAAACAGCACTTCGAATTCTCAAATTACCACAACTTTAAGTGACCTTTTTTTTGAGTTCTCGAAACGTTTTAAAATTCACAAATGTTTCTCTGTTTACAATATCAAAATTTGCTAATAGGCACTTCTGCCTTTTCATCTGAGGAAAGCATTACTATACAAAATATATATAGCAGAGAGAGAGAGAAATTTTTTGTCTTACCACTATACATTCTTGCGAGTGTAGATGGGGTATCTTGTCCGATGATAAATGTAACAAAGTAAGTAGTTTATCCAATACTTCACCATATTTCTCAGCAGTCTTGACACTATTAAAAAAACATCTCAACAACATCATTGAAAATACTATTAAAAATCCCGTATAGATGCTGGAAACAATATGGACGTACCACAAATAAACAACTAATGTCAGAGTTGATGGGTGAACTGAACGCAAACATCTATGCACCTAAAACTGTAATTATAATACTCTCATGTATGTATAAAATGTATTTTATTTTATATTGTTTCTTATCCAAATGTACACATATTAGCACTATTACTCTGAGTAACTGGGTTTCAGCTCATCTATTTTAACTTCACTGAACAAACATACCATTTGTCTGAAGAAACTTCAACTTCTCTTAGGTACCTGTAAAATCCTACACCAAGATGTTTCACTTCTTCAGTGAAGCTTTCTCAGTTCGTAAAAATAGAATACATGTTGGCTTTTAAATGGTTTAAAACATACAGGTAAAGGGGACATCCTTTATTAATATTTATATCAGGTTTACATATATTTATTAATAATGCTACCTTAATTTCTCTTTTGCATATGTCTCATCCATTACACAGCATCTTTATGTTACATAATTTATTCTGTGGTTAAGTATTCTTATGTGTTCATTTACATTTGATGGTCCTTCTAAGCATTAATTGAACCATATTGTTTATTTTCTTCAAGTTCCACCTATATATATTAAAAATGTTCAGTTAATTTGATAGGTAGATCTACCTATGTAGTTTTAATTTAAGTATTCTAAGATTTTTATACTAAATTCTGTATTTTTAGTCCATGATTTTTGTATAAATTTTGTTTCAATATTTATGTTTTTTTTTGTGAATTTGTTCCAAATTCTTATAAGTTGTTTCTCTCCATTTCCTGTACATGAGACAACTCCTACGATTTGGTTATTTTATTTCTTTTTCTTTATTACTGGGCACTATTTGGGTGCCATATAAAGGTGTATATCTATTTTAGTCATAAAACAAAAAAGGAAATTGAGATCTTAGTGTCATAATACATTTGCACTTTAGAAAGATAACAGTATTTCTCAAAATGTTAATATCAGCACAATTACTTTATATGTTTGTGTCCTTAATCAATTATTACATGTTTTTATAGGAGTTTCATGATCTAAGGTAACAATACAATCCCTTTTCCACCATTGATCTTATTTCAATTAATGTCCCTGGTTATTGACTACACCACATTTTTCACTGCAGAATGCTTTTTCCCCTCACCGTTGGCTCCGTCTTCTTTTTCATGATTTCCAAATTCCATCAACTGTGTGTGAATGACAACTTCTGAGGGCCCATTTGAGAAGCTCAAGGGGCAAAGAAGTCTATGGAATTCTTTTTTGTACTTGTATCTTTTGGATAAATTGGTATGTTGACTTGGATGTGTGACTGAATACTTTGTCATGATGGGGCTTATTGGCACATGATTGGTACAAAGATGGTGGTTCAATGTGGCATAGTGGAGTTAGCACACTAGCCTGATAGCAGAGTTCACAATGGCATTTTTATCAACTTTTTGGAAGTTTCAATTACAACTGTAAATGTAAAAAACAGCAAACAGTATAAATAAGTTAAACTTCAGTGGCTTGCTTTGAACCATTTAATTTTTTTCAAGTGTTGTATCACTGTCAGGATGAGAATAAATTGCCCAGACTTTTGCAGACACTCAAGTAGAGATGTGCTTCATTCAAAGTGACAAGAAGCTCTTATTTATTACATACCAATTTCCACTAACACCACTTTTGACAGTTGATCTTCATTTTGACTATATACTTTTGAAGAAATTTATGATTACAAATAAGGCTCTTGTCACTTTTGTAGACCTAAATCCATGAACATTATCTTGTTTACAGTTTCAAGAGACATTCCTACTTTTGTTTTAACGACCATTGTACTTATGAGTTCCTTTCAGTGAAGAGCTATACAAGTTTCTTTGATAAGTCTGATGTGCAACTGATAGGAAGTCATGGACGAAGTAACTTGTTTTTTCATGCTGGATCCACACTTAACTATATTTTATGAATATGGACCAACACTGTAGATATCCCTTTCTTGAAAAGTGCTTAAAAGTTGTACCTTGCACATCATTATAAACGTTAAATAGGAGAATTCATGTTGGAAAGTCCTGAATAAATAAAACCCTCCTAGAAGGGTTTAGCTTTAGGTGCCATCTGCACTTACATATTAGCATACTTTTACTGAATTGCAAACAAGAGAGTTTTGAGTTTTAACCTAAATAGTTACAAGTAATGAGAACCGACAGTGGTAAGGTGACTGAATATGTAAAATGTTACCACAGACCACATACAATTTGTACACTTTAATCTTTTTATATCCACATCAAGGTAGATGTAACTGTGATAATGGAAAACAGTTCCTAAGTGTCAAATGATCATATAATTTTATTTTTCCTCAAAGTTTAAATAATTATTAAAATTGAAAATAATTTATTAACAATAATACATTAGTTTCATGGCAAAAAGAGTACAGCTTTAGAAAAATTACACAGCATTTTCTGAAACACATATATTATGATCTACATTATTTTAAAGTTTCAAAACAATACATTAAAATTCAAAAGACTCAGTGAATGGAACTCATTTAGAAAATAAACTTTCCTTTTTTGGGGGGTAAAAGCACCAGTTAATCTTTGAAGGATAATCCACCTCAAATGAACACATTTAGATTATAGTTTATTTCAAAACCATGCATTCAAGCTTTTGCTCAAAAGGCTGGGTAGTGTTACACTTATAAAATGGTTGGTGTTAGTAAATGAATTTAAGATTTTCAAATTTGACTTACCTTCCTCCCAGAATACTGATGAGGGTGATTTTGAAAGAAGCTTGAGATACCAGATATGCAACAAGATTTAAGATTCTAGCAGTGGCTGAATTACATGGAGATATATCAACAGCCGCTGTTTCTGTTTTTACATCAGCAGGTGGATTCTGATTTTCCATCTTAGTTATCAGATCATCAAGAACTGATCTAAGTTAAATAAAAAATAATAATAATTTTTCTTTTTGAAACATTTATGATATACAAAACCAGTGTTTTAAAAACACTGTAAAAAGAAAATTCATTCACCACCAATAACACTTTCCAACTAACTGGTATTATACTAGCCACCTCTACATTCCAGTAAAGTAGTATTATACTATCCACCTCTACAATAGCATTCATAGAAATTAATAGCTCATAAACAAAATGATATCTGAAACAGAGACTATTAAAGCATATAGCATAATAACCAATGAGTACTTTGAACCTAAATTAGGTTGTTGTTGGTTTTTTGATAAATTTAAAATTTATAATGAAATAATAACAACCACTATGTGAAAATAGCTGTATATCATGCCAGCATGCAACACACTTCTAACTGTTCATCTAAAAGTCTGGTTTCACACCTGCTTATTAACAATAACACAATCATAGTCTAATGACGTCATGAACTAACCCACTTACTTTAACAAAACAAACAAACAATGCAGAAGGGGGCAAAATTAACTTAATACTTTAAGTAGCATAAAAAAAAAAACATGATGTACTTGAGACTCTCTGAAGGCATATGATCAAGGCTAAAATTTATGAAATTTACATCCATGTAAGGAATAAAGGGCACCCAACAGCAAATAAATTGTGAGAAAGAAAATACTCCCAGTTTTTAGATCACATATTTATGGTTCTGTTAGATTTAATGCTTGAAAGATATAAAACAAAAACTGCAGTGAGTTGAATTTTACAGTATTTTACACAACTAGCTTCAAACAATATAATGTTTTCAGTGTTTGAGCTAAAAATATTTGCAGCCTTGTTTCACGGACTGACAATATTTTATCTGTATAAGCAGGAAGTTTAAGTATTTCAATATAAATATTACAATTGCAGGGCAAAAATCAAAATTCAGGATAATAGTTTGTCTATTCTTTATTACTTTAACCAAAAGAAACTTACTGAAATATATATCAAAACCATTGGGTCACACCTGGCCCCAATAAGAATAATACTTGCTGTGAAATTTGTAAGAAAAAACATCTTAATTGACTCGTACTTAAAACACGCAATAATTCATTACAAGTTTTAAAAATATTAACTAAAATCAAAACCAAAAATATTGCCAGCAATGTTTACTAACTATAAACATTTTTTTAAAATAGTTAACACGCTTTACATGTGCAAAAATGAAGCTAATCCACCAAAAATAGAAATACATACAAAGCAAGTGTGACTGAATATTAAAACAGTATAGAAAAAAAAAGTACATACAAAATAAAGCAAACAACATGTAGAAGTAACTGGTTTTATAGCTTTGACATAGACTTTAACCACACGTGTGACAAATTGTTAGCCCAAATCTGTTGTAATTCAGTAGATCTTGTATCAGTTAACCCATTCAGTGCTGCTTCAGAGATCAATATCCATGCCAGGTACTATTGTTTTTTTTGTTTTGATTAGGGGCATTTTAATAATGCAAAATAATATCAAATAGAATATTTATGAGCATATAATATATACTTATTCAACTAAAATCTGTACCATGATGCACATGAGCATCATCAGCACTGCAGTTAAAATTATTTTATGAAGGAGTGTTGCATGACGAACATGTGCATCATCTATTATTTATATCTTGTCATGGTTTTTGGGTATGTTTTGAACGTACAAGAAGGGTAAATTATAGTCATCAAATTTTCAGTGGGGCTTGGAGTTCTTCATTTTTATCCTGGGCTTTGAATGAACACTATTTTTATCCACTTTATAAAAACCAATCAGAAAATAAGTATAGAATAAAAAACTACAAGCAAGCAAAATTCCTATGAGAACTAACTTCTAATGCATGCTGGCTCCAATAAAATGCATTTGCCTCAATGTTTTCATTGATGCACATGTTTGTTGGCAGCACTGGCTAACATACCTTTAAATGCCCTGGTACGTATGTGTCAGTGAATGTATACACTTTCTACCAACCTAAATATAAATAATTAACCTCAAAATGTCACTATTCAGAGCATCTTGTATCAGTTAATGAAAGGTTAACTATATTACATGCCTGTGCACTTTCTACATCACTATAAATTAGGTTGCTTGTTTAATGTACTTAGAATTATTTGTCTGTTTTTCTAACTGCAAAATGAACAGAAGTAAAAACATAAAAATCCATTCTTACTTAACAACAACAAGAGCAGAGGGAGCAGCAAGATCACACAACTGGACACAGATACGTCGTATTAACTGTTGCAAAGGTTGACAACTAGTGGCTGAAAAAAAACATTTTAAGACTTTGAAAACAAAGCAGGGAGTTTACTTGTTATATGTGACAGATTTTCTTTGTGCATGTGCAACCACCAAGAAGAAGAGAAATATAATGTTTTAATTCAATGTAATTATCATCACATGAAAATCAAAACTATGGAAAACAGCATGATTAATGTAAAATATAACAAATATCTTTCTAATCCAAAACATTATATTAGCACACTACATGTTTAAAAATCAGACTCTACAATACATTACTTATGGCTTCCCCTGAAAAATGAAAAGAAAAAAAAGAGTATACCTCTGAAATTTTAAAGTTTATATCATTTGCTGACATTTCCCTATATTACTGTATTACATTAACCTTTTCTTTTCTTAGCTATTCTAAAGTTCACTTATAACATAACACGGAGAAAACCAGACTGAGAAATTTTACTTTTTTGTTTGACAACAGTCACCTGCATTTCACATACCCACCTTTGTAAACATTTTATGATCTTTACTTCTAAGATGCAGGGATGTCAAAAGGAAAAAAATAAACTCTGAAATCCTGTAGATTGATCTATGTGAGCTTAGCATGAGCAAATCTGCCTAGGGGTTCCACGAGCTCCCAGAAAATTTTCAAAACTTAGGTGCTCTCAGAGTGATTCTGAGCATGTTTGGGGCACAAAGTATGAACATTTTCAGGTGCACTGTACCCTGTGAAAAATATATTGTTTCACTTCAGTAAAGGGGTTATCGATTCTGGTTCATCATCCATGAACAAAAAATAGTGAATCATCATATTCGCTACGTTAGTACATAACCTTATTATAGCCCACACCAAAACCAGCCAAGTTCTTGCCTAAAGTTACAGATTTTCAGCTTTCAGAATAAAATTATTCCTTTTACGTCCATGGAATTTATAACTCCAAGATATTGTATATGTTTACATTATAATGTGTAGCTAGAAGAGCTCTGTGCAACTTTCAAAATGTGACTGATGGGGTAAATGATGAAATAAATCCAATAGTGTTTTCATCCATGTTTCATAGCTCATTTTAGGATAAATGGCTCAACATATCTAATAAATATGTCAACATATGAAAAGAGGGTGGTCTACTGATTATGTTTCTGAAGATGGCTGGCAAATTATAAAATGGATTTGGACAGATTCTATTTAACCTTTACCTGACAAATTTCTGTCTTCACATGGGCATGATGGAGGCAGCCATAGCTATACAGCACAGCACATGTGCAGTGGAATGGTCCATGAAGTGCAGCCAGTGAGGGAGTTATATTGTAATGATATGTAAGACCTATATTTTTAAACCAGATCACAGAAAATGAACCAGATGATGACAAAAAAGAATCCGTGGAAAATTACAGTCATCTTTAGATGCAACTTAAGCCTACTTTTTCATATTAATAGTACTATTGCACTAAATTTTGTATTTAACTAAATAATGCACCAAAAATTATGCAATAATAACAAAAATAAAACAGACAATGTCCTATAACTATCATAATTTTTCTGGATTTCTATGTGATAAGAGCCATTAAAAATTTAGCTAAGGTCTTCAGTCTGTTTCCTGTCGGAATAGATTGAACTGGAAGGTAAATAGACAATCCTTTGTACAGAATAAGATTGAAGGCTATAAAAATTATGCTTTGTCTGAGTAATATCTATATTATGATGAGTAGTTTACATTAAATTCCATACTTCTAGGAGAGGTGGTATATATAAATTACAGAAGAGGAAAGACTGAGAGAACAAATGTCACAATTCACACAGTAGTGGAGATTGAGAATTTTGTTTAATATTTCTTTATAAATGTCAAAATTTGAGTTGTTAACTACATTTTGATATCAAGTTTATTCGTGTACAAAGATAATTAAGTATTTTAATTAAATCTTGAATGTAACTCTTAAAAAGTCATAACAAGGGCAGAAAAGAGGTATCCATATAGAAAGAGTTAAACCTATTGATAAAGCAAGTTGTATAATTACCTTCAGCATTTTTGTACAAAAGAGAATATGCTGTATTATCTTACCCAATGATGTAGCTCCATTACTGCTTAACATAGGAAAACAAATAGTGAAAGATAGCAAAGAAATTAAAGGCATTATATCCAATAACAAGTTAAAGGAACATATAACTGAAGTCCAATTAAAACATTTGTTGCATTCTATCTAGTGGAGGGTGTTATTAGCTCCATTGTGTACTTCACTATAAAATGTCAAAGTTTTCTATTTGTAGAAAATCAAACCCCAAAAGACTACCTTATATTTTAGTTGGATACAGTATCTTGTAAATACATTCTGAATGAGGTTGTTTACAATTGCAGTGTTAGTTATCTAATATTCCTAATATATAGCTAATATCTGTTGACATTTGAGTCTTTATGTTGCCATATCTTTATCTATACTTTATATTTTGCTCTAAAAAAAGGGTGTGAAATCCTTATCATTAGTAATTTTGTTTAGTATAATTTTGGCTATCAAATTCTAAGATCGCTTTTTGGTGATCCTATCCCTAGTATGAAATGTTACCCAATTTGCCCACACGACAGGTATTAACAATAAAATGATAGCATTTGTAATTTTTCCTATCCTTTACACGTAATTCCTTGATGGTGCAGTGCACGATTAAGAGCTCTAAAATCTGGTTTATTAAAACACTGTAAATGATACATAACATTTCTAAAATTATCCGCAATAATGGTTTATTACCACAGAAGTAAACAATTCAATAGTTTTTAATAATATACTGTTTGAAAAGTTTATTAATTGGGTGTGAGGGATGAAAAAAGGTTAACTAAAATTTTACCCAAATTTGAAAAATAAATATTTTTTTCTACTATTTTAACCTTATCACAATGGGCATCCTTTACTTCGCGTGTCACGAGGTTTTAGTGACTTACATTCAAAATTTCATTGATCTATATTTTGTTTATGTTACACCAATTAAAATATCATAAAATTTTAGCTAATAATCCAAATTTTAAGTTCATAATTTTACAATACAATAATTAAAAAAATCCTGAATTCCCCTAGTGTGGCACGTGACATTTTCTCTAGGCATCTCCTCTTTTCTATTTTATCACCTACCCCTTCCAATAAGTACGAAATTCGACATCAATTACTCACTATAAAATCATCATTGCTCAGACAAACCATAATTTTTATAACCTTCAATTTTGTTTAGTTATAGTGCCATCAAATAGAAAATCAGACCCCTCTTGCCACACCCCATCACATCACGTTTAATTCTATATTAGCTATAATCAATAGAAAACCAAGGTTGTCATCTATCAAATGATGTATTAGATAACATTGTTTTCTGAACAGAGAATTGTAAATTTCATTGTTAGTACAAGCTTTGTTCCCACAGGCAAGATAACAACTAGCTTGAATGATTTTTTAACTGTTCTTATGCATAGTTAGGAAACCAGAAAAACTGTGACAGGGGAAATTGTCTTCTTTTTGCATGTTATTATTCTGTGTTCTTTGGTGCATTATTTAATTAAATAAAAACTATTTAGTACATTACTACATTAGTATAAAAAAAGTAGGGTTAAGTGTCATCGACAATCGAAAGCAAGAAAAAAGATTCGGGTAAATATATTATTTCTTGTTGAAATTTTCATATTTATTTTTTTATTTATTATTATAAAAGTAACTAAAATGTAAATATATGGATCTCTTTGTGTTAGTTATGGTTAGATTAGGTAAACTAAATAATAATAAAAATGTTATATGAGTCATGCACGTGAGCAGCTTGTGGATAACATAATTCGATAGAGTACCGTATCTCTATATTCCCCAAATGATTTCCAACTTATAATGGCACAATTAGTAGTTAGACACAGTTCAAAGGGCAATAAAATGATAAAATTTAATTACAAATAGATGTATATAATTACAAGCCTAAAGCTACTTAGGATAAACGAATGTAGTTTTATACTACATTTGAAGTCATTCCAGATAAAATTTAAAGTTTTACTGAAAACAAACATTTGAAATGTATTTAAGAAGTTTTAGAGATTAAACAAATCAAATCTAAGATTTTTGAGATGAAGAAAAGTATTTTTAATCTTAACATGAAAATCACTTTGCACATGGACTATTCAAAACAAATAGTCGATGTATTCACAAAAAAATCTTCTTTTAGTTTATTTAAAATACTTCACTTATAATGTTTACTGAAAGACTGAAAATTTTGTGAAGATATACATACTATATTAAAAGTTAGTAGTATAAAATCCATAAAGACTTTATATGAGTACAAAGAGGTCATGTGGTTGGTCAAATCAACCAAGCCCATGTTGAGAGAGTTAAAGCACCATCAATTAGTGGTTTTTTTAAAATGTTGCAGAAAACAAAATTTGTTAAAAATAAAACTTGAATTTACAAGTTGATAAAGTTAGTGTGAGAGAAGATTAAATCATCTACAACTAACCAGCCAATGATGATATTATTTCTTGGACATGATCACTAAGAGCATGAAGATGGGCACTCCATAATTTTCTGTTATTGACTGCTCGAGTCACTTCTTCTTGATTTAGTGGCTTTATGTTGAGAAGAAAAATATTTTCTATTAATTTACAGCAGAACAATCATCATTCAATTAAAAACTGTAATTGACTATAACTGATGAATTATATTACATTACTAATAAAAAAACTAAGGAATAAAGTCATGCTTCATGTACGATGTATGTACTAAAATTATTTAACTACTGAAACATTGTCTAGTAAAAAAAATTAAAAATGGATATAGATGGGATTGAATCCTCGACCTCATTCATTCAAAGCGTCTGCTGTGTCATATGAGCCAAAGACCAACAATGTTTTTCACACATGCAGCATCATTAAATGGAATACTATACATATGAAAAAGGTATATGTTTTAAATAAATAAATCCTTTAAGTAATGCTGTTGTTGTATTTATGTAGATGGACATGAATGAAACAAAAACCTACTAAGCAGAATATAGAGTTTTTGTATTTAGATGTAAAGTAAAGAAATGTAAAACACTGGAATGACTATAAGCAAAATACATCTCTTTACACAACATTTTTTTGTATAAACACCTTGTCTTTATGGGTAATTACCATTCTTAACTAAGATCTTGAGATTTTGTTCTTGATTGAACTTTTGATAAAATGACATTACAAAATAGAAAATTTATAAAATTATGGTATCCAGACATTTAAAAATCAACTGTCTTCACTCGTCACTATTTCATTTATTTTTCTTTTTTCCTTCCATTATGGCATCAGCTCTTTTATACTCTCCCTAAAGTATTAACAAAGCATTGGGTCCACTACCATCAATAACATAAATGGTGTAATATTGTATTCCCCTAGTGGGTAAACTCCTTCGCATACAAGGCATATTTAATCTTTAGGGCTAATTGTCGATTTTTAGGCGCCTATATTGAGATTGTTGGAAAGATATAATAGTTACAAAATAGTGAATTTTTAAAATTATGATATCAAGAAATGTAAAACAACTGCTTTCATGTGTTTCTTTTTATAAGTTCCTGTGTGTACATATGTCTAAATTGCATTTGTATATTACCTGAAACCTGTAATTATTGTTTTTTGTACAATGTGCTACATGTAGAGCATTGAAAATTAATGAAGGAAATTACATAAATTACTGTTGAATGGTATAAATGAAAGTTGGTAATTTGAGGATTAAGTAGTTCTTTTGGTCTATTTACAATAAACTATTATTTCTGTGTAATGATAAACGTGTTAATTTATGTAATTAAAATAAAAATGTGTGTCGGTCAGTCTATACGTGCATGTGTGCTAGCTCACTTGGAAATCCAGTACTCCTATTGGCTAATTATAAGGTGGTGCTTTCATGTTTATATAAGTGCAAAAGTGAATGATGTTTAATGTACATTGTTCTGTACAAGTGTAAAACTACGATGTTTATAACATTAACTTTAAAAACAATACTTCAGTAACATAAACAAACATGCAAGGAAACACATTAAATTAATTCTTTACTTTTCTGTGGTTTATGATTAATGCAATACTATTACATCTCAATACAAATTCCAAGAGGCACCTAAAAATCAACAATTAGGCCTAAAGTTTAAATATGCTTTGTACACGAAACACGAGTTTACCTGCTATATAATGTATGGCAATTAGCCTCAATAGTCACTGCCACAAATGTTTTACCTTTCCAATGCTCATTGTAAAGAAACAACCAAAAATTGGATGAGATCACTCATATTCTAAGCAAAATGCATACGAAACCACACAACAGTAGCAATTTGTGGGATTAAATGCAATAATGATGTTATTTTTGTTTAAATTTTATTGTACATGTCTTTCATGACCCTGTAACCAACAAAATTATGGACCCACAAATAATTTAGCATAATAGTTTAGAAAAATCTGTTTATGACAACAAAGGATTACATACAGTTATTCCATAAGTGTTATTCTACTACAATTCTAAGATTACAATTAAAGAAAATTTATAAGTTTTAATAACAATAAGAAAGAGATAAGCTGTTGTTATATCATTAAATCATAAAGAAGTTTTTGCATAACTTACATGAAGCCATTATAATAATATTATATGCCAGACTGCTTATAGTAACCAGTAGATTATAACAAAATTAGTAAATAACTAAATCTGTTGGAACTCTTTCCAAACCTACAGTAAAACTAACTTGTAGTTAATCTCACTGGGACATCTAACTAAAATTAAATGTGATTCAGAGCATCACTAATTTATCACAATCAAACTGTAAAAGCAATAATAGTTTTACAAAACTAATCATCAGTTGCAATTCTAACATCACAAATGAATATATTTAACCAAAAGGATATTCATTTTTGTGACACGGATTTAATAAATGGGCTTTTGTCTCTTTTGTCTGAAGCTGAACCAAGTTAGCAAACTAAACCATATTTCAAAGCTTTCTTGCTAATATAAAGTCGATTATAAACAATAATCCTACCTCTTTTGTTTGAAGAGGTAGAGGTAGTGGAAGAAGTTCTGACAGCATGATCAGACCAGAAACATAAGTGCCTGGGGACTTTAAAGTATAGACCATCAGTTCCTTAATCATCTGGGTCCAAAGACTTTTATTCAGGGCTACAAAGTAAAACAGTGGTGAAGTAAAATGTACTCAGATCTCCATATATAAAACAATAATATGTTTTGTGTACAAGGCTATTTCTGTTTTTGATAACAATATTCTTAAAATTAGCTATCAATAAAACTGCTAAAGATATTACAATTACCGTATTTTTCAGAATATAAGACACACTCTTATTTTGAAGACAAAATTTTTGGGAAAAAGATTTTTATTGAACAAAAATTCAATTTGATACTTTAAAAATTAGTATATATTGTTCT